GATCGAAGCCCAGCAGGTGCAGGGACCTCCACTTTCAGGAGCCCTTAACTAACCAGGGGGAACTTGCCCTCCACTGTGAGAATCCTTTTTCCCTGCAATTCATGGCTCCCAGGCTTGGAGGGGGGCCCTCATCCTCTGCGCCAAGCTGCTTTCTCACCTGTGGTGGGCTTTGGTGGGGGTCGTTGTCCCCTGGAACAGGGCTCTGCTATGCAGGGCTTTTGGGGCCTCTGGCTCAGCCCTGTCTGCTGGCTCAGTAGCCCGAGCACCGTCTGGTTCCCTGGACTCAACCTTTTGCTATGGGTTGGAGGCCTAGTGTGACAGCTGAAAATTATGTCTGTGTGATAAAGGTACTTGCTGAAGGCTCTATGAAGATTAGACCAAGTGTTTTATTGTCAGTTGTTCAGATATTAAGCTATATGTTGTTGCTAAGAGCCTAATTAAAGTCAAAGATATAGTGAGCCTTGTATGTAGTATGAGGCCTAGTAAATTTAGCAAAGCCTTTTAGAAGTGGTAGTACGCCCTGTGGCGTAGTAAAAATTAACCTTATCAGAAGAATGCAAGGCTTGTACTGCTATTGGTCAGTCCTAAAGAAAGTTTGCAGTGGGAGAATCTGGATGGCTGTAAGTTATCAGCCTAGCCCAGAAGTTATAAATTGGCTGGCACATCTGGAAATCATTTAGAAGGAAGATGCAGCTTTGTAAAAGAAGCTCCTAATTTAAGATTAGCTGCTGGCCCAGATGCGGCTCCTTGTATTCACTCTAGAGGCTCCGCCTCCGAAGGCTTGCCAGATTTGCAGAAGGCAGGCTGAAATCAGGTCTGGGAGGCTCTTTGCTCCCCCTCTGTGCGAGAGGCAGGGCAGGCCCCGCCCAGCCCTTACCTGGTTGGTGGACAGGCTCCACCAATTGAAAAGAAGATTTTTTGAGCCCATTCGAGCTGGGCTGCATTGCTAAGTTTGCCACAGTTGTATTACTGAGGAGCACATTCCAGGCAGCAAAGAAAAATAAATGAGGGATTCCTCTTCATTCTGTTTGCTACTGAAGAGCTGGTAAGTGGGCAGTGAAGGCGAGACCTAACTCTGTCCTCACCTCCTCCATTTTACAGTGCAGGAGCTGGTGGGCTCTGGTTAGTAAGACTTAGGGCAATTAAACTGAGTTCTGGAAGTAACCTGATTCTGAAGATAGGCCTGAGCCCCTGGAAAGGCTCATAAAGTTCTGTAGGAAGAAAAATTTATTTGATGCCTGTGATAGACTTAAAGCTCTTATCCTAGATTTTGCCATGGCTTTCCACCTGCGGGAATAGGACAGCATAGTAAAAGTCCCTAAACACACTACCTTCTTTTGAAAGTCTTTTGATATTGGCAAAGCTGTGCTCTATATATTGTGCACTGTTTAAATTACAGCAAAAAGTAAGAGGAAAGTAGCTATATGGACACGGAGAGCTTCCAACTGAGACAGGTTTAACAGAGGCCCCTTTTTTTTCTTTTGGTGGACCTGCTGCCTCCAGGCCCCTTGGCTTTGGCTAATATAATAGTAATGATACATTAGATACACATATCATGGAATATATATATGATGACTGAGCACAATGTCCAGTCTTCAGCAGGGGGGACTGCACTTGCTATTTAGGTCTTTGCCTCTGCCTGGCTACCAATTGGGTGAGACGACAGTGCGCAGAGCAATTTGAGGGACAAGCGTTGGGTTCGTCAGTTCTTTCAGGAAAAGAGCTTTTTACTTGGTAAATTCCCACAGGTTGTTAGGAACACTGAGAAGCAACTAAACAATTGGCCATGAGCCAATGGTGCACACCTACCTGCACACTGCAACCTTTATTCCAGGGCAGGGCTTTCCCACAGTTTGTGGGTCTAGTGAGTTTGAACTATGTGGTAAAAAAATCCACCTGCATTAAATACTATGCACTCACTGCACTGAAGCTCCACTTATGGTGCTGGTTAATTAATTTTGCCAGGCTGACAGCAATAAGGGGTTTTGTAAGCCTGAGCTTTCAGACAATGACAAAGTAATGGTTTCTAATGCACAGACATTCTCAAGGGACTTGTCCTTCCTTCCAAACAAAACTAATTAATGACGGCAATAAATAAACCAGACCAGGCAAACCAATCAGAGAAGCCTGTTGCTGATACATTTGATTACACAACAACCCAGGATGCTTTGCATGGGAGTTGGCTTATGTCTGAGCTTGATGTGATCATTGCACACATTTCTGTGGCTTAACATCCATAGACATCAAGATGGAATGTGACCAGTGAACTCATCTAGAAAAACATATTGATAACACCATACTCGACATTCCCCTCCCAGCAGACCCATGTATAGATGGGACCAACTTATTGCTGTCTGTCTCTCTCTCCCTATGCATAATACCACATAGACAGATTAGGAGTTTATCAATTTTGAATAAAATATAATGGAAATATGTAAGGTTCTTTCCTTCGCTTTCATAGCCATTCATATTTGGGATGTCAGTTTCTACCTTTCATCGGCCAATGATGTCATCTTCCATTTTATTACATTTTCAAAAAAACTCTTGATGCTCTTGGCCATGCCACTCCTCATGCTTGCAAGGAACTTTTTGGGAACAAAGTCACTTCATTGTTCTCCTTCAAATCTCTCTTTAAACTCTAATTTTCCATGATGCCTGAAAATGACTTGACAATGGTGAGGCTGTTGGTGCACTGAGACCCCTGCCACTGTGCTGACTAATGTTGTCTAGTTCTGCATGGCTCAGGAACCACATGAGCTGTCCAAGTTAATCATAGGGCTACCACATCTGTGCACCTAAGTGAACTGTGGTAAAATATTCTAGTTCAAAAGAAAAATTGACAGTTCTTTAGTTATCGTGTACAGATAGTACAGGTGTTACATTACTCTTGATTCATGATGATAGTCAATGCATGCTGGAACCCCCACCCCCAAATACTTTAGTAACATTTTCTGCAATATGCTGCAGGTGATAGGTAGAAAAAACTACTTATGACTTAGAAGTTGTGTCTGAGTTTCATGGCTGAAATTTTTTCCTTGAACTCCCCCTTTCTTCCTGTTGTCTTATATTTAAATTGTAAATTGTTAGGGGGAAGGACTGTCCTTTTTCACTGCATTTGTACAGCACCCCAGTACAATGGACCGCCCCCCCCCCC